AACGTAAACATTAGTAACAGGATAAACACGGCGATAACAGTTTATGCAGATGAGGACGGACGTAACGTAAGAGCAGCGGCACCGGAGTGTGGTCAACCCCGTTATCTCACGCTGGTACCTTCACTGGGTTTCTTTCAAGAGTCTCAAAACGCAGTCACTGAGAAAAATTATTGATTTTTAGTGATCTTTTTACAGGCTGGTTAGGGATGTTTTAACCGAGCCATATTGTTACACATCCTTTCACATGTATGATGTTCAAATTTCGTGCACCTAGCACTTTCCTTTCTTAAGTTATGATTAAAATTTATCTTAAAAAACATGTTACTTCCTGCCTGACTCAACCAAGCTCCTCCCCGCTGCCTCCAACCTCCTCAAACCCCACCGTCAATCCGACCAATCACGTCTCTTGGGCCATCTCCGCCCACATCGAAACCTCCGCCAATCACGAGTAGGGCCGTCTCCGCCCACAGGACAAAACCTACTGCAGAGACCCCTTACTCCTTGTGTCTGAGTGTCTGTTAGGAAAATATCTAACCAACCACTGAATTCATTTGAATGAAACTTGCAGATGTTTACAGCTCATTTCAAGATGGCCACCACAGCCGCGCGAACCTGGAATTTTACAGATTTTGTGCTAAAACCTGAGGTAGTAGCAGCTGAGAGACATTCACAACACACACTTTGACAAATCTACTGCCTGCATCCTGTTTACTCCCACAGATACACAACAAATGTGTAAAAGTATCACACCCGTCACCCGACAGCAACCCTCGCCCCTGCACCGACCTTATGCATGACGATTTTGCGCTGCGTGGGCTCGGCCACGTCGATCATCTTCTGCACCACGTAGTTGGCGTACTGATCCTTCATCATGGTGTATAAGGCACTGTGGGGACCCTCGGTCAGGCTGCACACTTCGTCTATCAGCAGAGCGCGCTCCGCCCGGGACGCGTGGGTCACACACTTCTCCACCACGTTGCTGCGAGGAAAACACCGGGAGACGTTTAGGACCATGTTTCACCATTAAATCTTTCAGAAGTGGACCTTTTTAATGCAAATTTATCAAACAAACAACGTGAGCAGAGACAAGTTAATGTAGAAGAGAAAAATCAGTTTTAAAATGATCGATGTGCAAATTAACATATTTAAGTCCACATGTTCGTTTCTAATGTTTATAAATGAAGTTATTGACAAAAATGAAGCAGGCACAGTCAGAGCAAACATCCTGTAGACTATAAACCACGCCTGGGCGTAGATTCAGGTGTGTCAGAAGCTATAAAAAATAAAGAAACCCAACCAAAAGGATGAGAGCACATATGTGAAAACATGTTAACTCACCTGGCGAACTTGTGCTGGCTGAGTCCCAACACGTTGCCTCTTATTTCAGCCACGATTTTACTCTTGTCCTCGGCTCGGCCGTGCTCCAAAACGTGCTGGATCACGTAGTTTCCGTACTGGTCCTAGATCACACAGACCACAGACACGCGTCAACAAACACGAGGCGAGGAGGGGGGACAGCTGGTGCCTCTGACGTCACGGCAAACACTGCCAAAGTTTGAAAAATCTGGAGGCTCAGAGAGGAACTGATTGAAGTCAAGCTTAGGCTTTTGTTCTGTGTGTGTATGTGTGTGTGTGTGTGTATGTGTGTGTGTGTGTTACCTGCACTAGCTGCTCTGTGTGCTGATGGAGCTCCTCTAGAATAGGCAGCGTCTGTTCAGGAAGGCAGTGTTCGAGGATGCGCTGGATGACTCGGCAGCCGTACGGGTGAGTGGAGAGGGCGAACACCTGAGACACAGAAATCAGACAATCTTTGTACAGGGTTCCTTCAGTTTAAGCCAAGTTAAATTTAAGACCTTTTAAGACTTTTTAATGCCAAGTGAAATTTTATTTAAGACCATTTTTGTAATAAACACAAATGACAAAAAAATGGTAGAAACTCATGAATCAAAGCATTTTTGGTTGAAGTATTTAAATATTGATAATAGACCAATTGTTTATGTCCATATCTAACTATAGCAGAAACATTCTTAGCAGTCAGTTTTAAACCTAATTTAATTTCTGAAAATTCTCTAAAAACCCAAAATTTGGAGTTTTAGGACCCACCGTGGGGTCTTAACCCCAATTTTCTGTAGATGAAACCTTAAAGTTCCTGTGACATAAATTTTTTGAAAGAAAAGTGAATGCATTTTTGGAGAGACAACATTATTAACATATTAAAAACAAATGTCACATTGTTCAGATGGACAGTTGTTGAGATATTTGCATGTGAAATAACAGGAAGTGATGTCAAACGGGAATGTCTAAACGTAAATATAAAAAATAAATCAATGTTACCAATTATTTTAATATTTCAGATGAATTACAATCATCCTACGTACAATGTGTTAACATTTTTACGACTTCTGAAAGATTGATTTAAGACATTCCTTTTAAGACTTTTAAAAGATCTGTAGGAACCCTGTTGTAAAAACAAAAAGTAAGTGAACACGACACAAATGTACTTCCTGTGAACCCGACCCACACCTGCAGGGAAGGAGAACGCTCATTTATCTGAAGGTAAAGAAGAGACGAACGTGCGAGGAGCAGAACACAGAGTGTCGTATCAGAACTGAAACCGTTCCTTCCAACGCATTTTATCGTCGAACGTTTAGTTTTTAGGGAGGAGATGGGCCGAGGCTCCTGTTGCCAAGGCAACACACCCTGTCCCTGCAAGAGACTGAGTCTGTGTACTCTGTGACAATAAGCTGCCTGCCTGCAGGCGATGATGGTGTGTGTGTGTGTGTGTGTGTGTGAGCATCGACAGATTTCAGTGATTGAGTGAAGAAATACAGAACCCACCTGTCCCTTAAAGGCCTCGATGATGAAGTGCAGCGCGTGAGGTTGGACGCATTCGATGCACTTCTGCACCACGTGGTTACCGTTCTGGTCCTTCACGCACTTCAGCACATGGCCGTCCAGCTCCCGCACCATGTCACTCTGCAGGGAGGAGGGAGGGGGGGGGGTGGATTGTGAGGAATCAAATCTGGCCTGAAGGCTCGTTGCAAACACTGTGACTCACTGCCCAACAAATAACGCCGGACTTTTAACACATGCCCTGTTGGGAAATCTATTGGAGTCCATTAAGGAAAGATGGATAACTATTACTTTTTTCCCAAGCACATACCGACACACAGAGAAGCAGAACAGGCTTTTCTAAAACGCCAGATTTATGCCAGCATATTTCCTGTTGGTTTTCATCTATTTATCTCACTATAAACAGTTCAACATTTGCATATAAACTGTGCTTTCATTAGCCTCATTCATCGCCGAGGACAGAATGAATGTAAGGAAACTGCTGCTGCACAGGCAGCTCCAACACAAACTGCATATTGAAGATGTGCAAAAAGCCTCCCTGCAGATTTAAACCTCCTTTTTTTTTAAATTGAGAAGAAGATTTAGTTGAGGGCAAAGGTGCAGTGTGTTTCTGGTGCTGACATGCTGACACAGCCAAACAGGCACGAGTGTACTTACAATGACCTGCTGATCTGAGGGGATGAACTCCAGAGCTTTCTGGATGACCCTGCAGCCGTACATCTGCAGGGCCAGAGACAGCACGTGACCTCGGATTCTTTCAGCCAGAGCCAGCTTCTGGTCCAAGCTGCCGAACTGAGAACAAACATCTCTGTTACAGCTAAGAATACACACGCACAACTAAAAGAACAAGTTTAAAAGGATTAAAATAGTTCAATCTTGACACCATGAAAAGCCCAAACTCCTCGTACCTCGAAGAACTTCTGAATGACGTAGTTTCCAAAAACGTCCACCATGAGCTGATAAGCCGCCTGCAGGATCTCACTGAACACGAGCTGACGCTCTGCTGAACTCGCTCGCTCCAATTTCAACTGGATGAACCTTGAACAGTCAAACAGAACAAGAATTAACCATATATGTACACTTTTTTTTTTTGCAGTGAGGGAAAGCCTTATGAGAAAGTCAAGAGACAGATCTCCTTAAACCCACTGGCTACATCGAGGGGATTAAAAAGTCTGGACGACTCTGAAAACAAATAAACACGAGCAGCAATAAAGGAAGGCTGAAACGTCTCTGTGTTTAACCTGAGGGAACAGAGAGGCGAAATGAGACGAGATTCAAAGCGGAGAGAAGCAGCCGAAGGAACAATAACAGCCTGGGAGGTGAAATGAYGGATGCCAGGCGAGGATAAAAAAAGACTTGTGATCCAGAAGAGACCGGGCAGAGAAAATGTCTGGAATGTGCAGACTGGACATCTTGGAGTATAAATAGCCCATTTCAAGGGAAAACTTGACATCAGAGGCGTTGCTGGTTCCACCCTGAAACCAGGACCACAGAGTGGTCTCCGGGGCCTCATCCTGCCAAATTAACACTTCTATTGACTGAATCGCAGATAACCACCATTTTTAACTCCTCTTAATGAATGCGCTCACAATATTCAGACTATGAATACAAAAAGTACTCACTAAAACATGTTTATTCAGTCGTGTGACGTCACAGACTGAGAGTGAAGCGGATATATTTACACTGATGTAAGTGACCATCCACCAGCAAACATTAAACTCAGCTGAAGACAAACAAAACATGAACTTTCATCATGGACTCAACTAAAACTTTAAATAAGACACATCCTGCGTTTTAAATCCTTCTTTTTCACATTTGAATCATATTTTATTTGGAAATACTGTGACGCAATAGTTCAGAAAACCTTTTAGAAAATTTGAAAGGTTGAAAAATACGACCCAAACAGTGCATAAAGATATCTACGCAGCACTGAGAGACTAAATTAAACTTTTCTGCACTACTAGAGTCTCCAACAAAATGTATTTAACAGCTAAAAAAGTGATATGTCCCCTTTAAACATTATTATTATTCCAACAGGCTCCTTATTATACCGGCTTTACCACATATCTGATAATCACTGGATAAGATTGGTTTTATGTTATTAAGGATCTGGTTTATTAAAAGCAGGAAATGATTAAATAAAAGTGCTGTGTTGTGTAATTCAGAGCAAAGTGATCTGCACTCGTGCACCTGCTGCCGTGCTGGTCCTGGCTGAACTCCATGATGTGCCCGGCGATGTCTCGCAGCTGCAGGTTGGGGTAGCGGTTGTTCCTGAAGTCCTCCAGCAGGCGGCTCCGGCCCGAGGGCATCACGTCTGACATGCCGTAGCGTAGCCGCGACGAGGGGAACAGCTGGCTGCTGGGGGAGAAGAGGGAGGAGCCTGAGCTGGCTGCGCTGCGGTACTTGGCCTCYGCTCCCGGGGCTGCGGAGATGAAGCGGCCGCTGCCGTTGGTCAGGCCTCCTTTGAGTCAGACAGAAAATAAAAAGATGAGTTTGAAACATCCTCAAACTAAAAAAATGTCCCAAATTACAAAACATTACTCCATCATCAACTTAATTTACCCAGATTGAGGTTAGACGAGGAGCTGTGGTTGGACAGGGAGGGTGGGGGTGTGAGGGAATGGGACGGGCCCTGGTTGGGTAGGGGCATGCCTACAGGGCCCGGAGACGGACTGAAGCCCAGGGTGCCGTTATAGAAACCTCCATGACCGATGGGAGTGAGACTGGAGGGTGTGCGTTTGTACAGCTCGCTGTTGCCTGTCAGGGAGTCCCGCCTGGAACCACTGCCACCGCTCGAGTTGGCCACTAGAGGGAGACAAAGACGTGAATTTAACAACCCAGAGCAGGTGAAACAAACCAACCGTTTGAAGCAAGGTTATAATAGTTTTAGATTTTTATTTCATTGTGACATTTTTTCTTTTAATTCAGTTAGTTTTTATTAGAGTGGATTTGCTAGTTTTTATTGCATTTTTAATGCTTAGTTTTAGTTTAGTTTTTATTAATTCTAGTATTGTTTTTTTTATATATATTTTATGTGCCAATGAATCCTCAAGCTTGTGATGTTCCTGTGTGTTAACTAACCAACAGCTATTTGGTTGCTAGTTAAAGCAGTCACCTTACTAAAATAATTGCGTAACTCAATTTTGCCAACTAAAAACTTGGGTGATTTTAGGACGATGATAGTTGTCTCCAAACTGTTTCTTGTTTTTCACAGGAGCTCCTGAGAGAAGCTAGCAYATCAAGTTAGTCATAGTTAGCCATCTTGTGTGAGCTTGATTCAAGCAGTTTTTCCCTTGAGAAGTATTCCACTTATTTTATCACCTGTTTCCACTACAAGACTTGCTTTGATTTTTCTCACAGTCATAATCACAAAGAAATCCCAAAATGAACTTTGCTGTTTTCTCCCAACTTTTGTTGTCATCATTTAGCAGACGATGCTGTGCAACAGCAGATTGTAAACAAGTGTTGTTACGGCCAACAGCTAATGTGAAACTACTCATTTAAAAAAAAAAAAGATCCACATGTCTCAAAATAAACTGAAAAACACTAAAACTAAGGATATTCTATCTATAATTTCAGTTAGTTTTGTAAAAAAGATTATACAGTTTTAGTTAGTTATTGAGTTTTTATTTATTTTAGTTAACTAAAATGTTTTTTCAATTTCAGTTATCATTATTTAGTTAGTTTTAGTTAACTATAATAACCCTGGTTTGAAGTGTTGCTTTATTAATAACCAAGTCAAAGATGCGCTCTTACCTGCGGTGCCGAAGCCCCCCAGCGTGGCTCCCAGAGTGGCACCAAGGGAGGAGGAGGCAGGTTGGCTGAAGCCCAGCGAGGCAGACCCGGGCCCGGGCTGAGCCGAGCCCTGCGAGAAGAGGGAGGAGCTCTGGGAAGAGGAGCTGAGGGACGAGGAGCCGTAGAAAGAGCTTCCTCCGAGGGCGCCGCCGGGGCCGCCCTGCTGCTGAGGCTGCTGGGACGTCATGGCACGGAACGGACCGTTCGCTCCTCCGCCCAGACCGCCGTTGGCACCACCTGCRGAGGCTGCTGCTGCTGCGACTGGAGGGGGATTAAAAGGAAGCGGTGCAGGAAACGATCAAAGCAGGTGCTTTAAAAATGATATGCTGTTTTAATTTTGTAATGTTTGCAATAAGTCTGATGAACAACGCAGACTTGTTCCTGTTTAAACCCAACCATTAATCTAAAACTAAAGTTTTACTATTTAATTGTAACTTTCAGTTGAGTGGAGCAACATTTATTACGCTTTATGTGTATAAAGAGACAAGCTGAGCTTTTAAATGGGTGTTTGGGCTCTACCACTGTTTTACCTGCTTGTGCTGCAGAGGGAGACATGATGACAGAGGCAGGGGCCATAAGGCGAACGGGGCCACTCCTGGCTCCTGTATTGACCACCAAGGCCCCCGTGGGATCATAGTAGGCCGCAGGTGCCAAGACTGGGTACCCTGAGAGAGACGTTCATTCAGAATGGTGCTTTCATTCACACAGAGATGAGTGAAGGTTGGTGGTGTGCTCACCAGGAACGCCTGCTGCTAASCCCTGGCCGAAGGCGAGGGCCGAGTTTACCGCTGCTGCTGCCACCAGCTGGTCATTCTGCTGACCCTGCTGACCCTGGCTGGGGGTCAGAGGTCGCTGGCTTCCTCCAGCGCGCATCACCTGTACAAAGATGACGTAATTTTTTTACTTAAAACGATAAAAAACTCAGACTAGGCTTCAAATACTTAGACACGTGGAACAATGCGTGCAATAGGAGCTGTCAGTTTTGATTTTCTGGCTCTTCTTCTTGTTTACATGCATTAAAAGTTGTGCACAGACTGATAATAAGCACAACGAGACGACGCTGGACCGACCTGCTGCTGGTTCTGCTGGCCCTGTCCCGCTGCCTGCTGATTGGCTGAGCTGTTGGCTGCAGCGGCCTGCTGCTGGAAAAGGTTGGCTGGGTAGACGCCCCAGGGGGTCACGCCGTAGTACTGAGGAGGCATTACTGCAGGRCCTGGACGCAAACGCGGACAAGAAACAAAAGGTTGACAACGGTTAACTGGAACCACCACTCATGTGCCTCCTTCACTGTTTAAACATCCACGCCTCACCGAGCGTGGCCGCTGCTGCCAGGCCGGCTGCGTAAGGGTCCGTTCCTGGTGGAGCAGCACTGATGATGTAAGGGTTGGGCACGAAGGCTGGGGCCAGACCTGGAGCATACAGGAAGCTTAATGAGCAAATCCTCAAATGAACATTTAAACCCTGGTAACTACTAAGAAAAACCATAATAAAAACCACAAACATGCTCACTGTTTAARCAGAACCCCTGTGGGATTTTAGCTTTTTGGCTGTTTAAGCATTGCTTTTTATTAATTTGGTACGAATATTAAAAACAGCATATTAAAAAGTTACCACTAAACTACAAAATGAGCATGATTGGGTTTATGAATCTTGGAGGAAAAGTGAAGTGAGGACTGAGAAACGATTTTCTTTAAAAAGCACAAGACAGCATCTTTAGCTAAAAGCTAAACTTCTGCTGATACGAGACACTACTAGAWCATTTTTATTCATTTCTTTAAAACAAATCAATTCTATGTACATATATACAAAAAAAGAAAAAACACAAATACAACGAAATGAAAGGAAGCAGAGAAGAAAAAATCTTATATCTGCCCCTTCTTTTTCCTCAAGTATAAACTCAAACAATACTAATCTTCAATTAACAAAAAACAAAACAAACTTYTAGAACACCAGTTTACATGAATACATRTTATACTGTTTCATATTTCTTCAAAAGCCCAACTTTTATCACTCTCTTGAACATGTAGATTGATCTAGCATCACTAACTTCACTATTTAAACCCCAAAATTAACTGAAAACCTGATRCATTTAATGAAGAGGATCAGTGTTTCTGTTCAAGTAAAAATATAGAATCTAAATAATTGTAAACTCATTCAGACGTACCGATGTGAGGCTGCTGCGCTGCTGCCAGTGCATACTGCTGCTGCTGGGCTGCTGTTAGCTGCTGCACAGCCAGGGCGTTGTTCCTCTGAAACAGCTGCAAGACAAAACAGCAGGTGAATGAGTTTTCTGTCAGCGGAGTGGAGACAACTGATGAGTGCATCTTGTTTTCTGCGCTGCAGCCATTACCTGCTGCTGGTTACTATAATCAAATAAACCCACAGTGGGCGTCGAGTCCATGGGCATCTGAGAGTTGTAGTCAAACTGCAGCGGCTCCATTACCGACTCCATGGGGTCCATGCTGACGCCACCTTGTTCCACGCCGGAGAAGTCCTCGGGAGGTTTGGGGCCGCCGCCTCCGAGGGGAGTCAAGCCTTCGGCCCCGACGCCCCCGGGACCTCCCAGCAGGTCGCCCTCAGGGCCGGGGGGAGGCATGCTCCCAGAGGGACGGCTGCAGGGGCAGAGAGAGGCGTGAGAAGGACGTCTGAGTGGCGGGAGCGTTTCTTTAACGCCAACGTGTCCTACCCAAACTCCTTGACGTCCACGTCCAGGCCGTTCTGCACGGGCAGCCCGTTCGGGTTGATGACGTCGCTGATCACGTCCGATTCACTCTCTGTCAACTCTTTTAGCTTCTCTCCTTCAAACGTCGTCTTCGGCTTCTCTCTCTTCTCTTCCTCCACCTCTCCATCCCTCTGTCCCTGCATACGATACGCGATTCACACAAAACACAAACACACAACATGGACAAGAATTCAGTTTCCATTTCAGTTTGTTGATTTCACAGTTGTYGTTGAGGCCTTTTTTTAACGTTGCACTGCAAATGTTTCTGTGTATTTACACTCATTATCTGTGTGGTTCAGACACCAAGAAAAGCTCCAGACCAAATAAAGAAAATTCAGTTAGTAAACTCAACACTTTAAATCATCTTACATAAGGTCCTTTTCGGAGGCAGGAATCCAGCTTGTCCGCCGGCGAGGACGACAAGACGTACTCCACCATGCTAACCCCCAGCCCCCCGCTTTCGGACCGCGGCGACATCACTGAGCCCACCCCGACTTCCCCTCCGCCATGGAAACCCTGCCCCGGCCGACGGGACACCATGATTGGCTGAGAGACAGAGTGATCTGTCACGACAGGTACAAGAGTAAAAATGAATATCAAGCACAAATATAACAGCTCAGTATTACTACTTTATTACAACCCTAAATATGACATGAGGTCACGTAAGTTATAACCRTAATATTTCTTTAGCAAAGTTGTTAAAACCATAATTTGTGTAAAAACATGATCATCTTCTGTGATCTCATGAAAAAATTGAAAATAGATGCACAATAAACGATAAAACTCAAGGGGACTGATCAAAATATTTATTTCTCTTAAGTTTCTGCTCCAAACTGAGTCCAACATAAACCCAGCTTGATACCTGAGGCCCCCCAAGCACTGTCCCGCCACTGGTCCAAGAAGATCCCTTTGGGTCCGTCTTTCCCAGAATCATCCGTTTCCCAGAACTTCTTCCCGGTAAGGAGCTGCTGCAGAGACACGGGACAAAAAAAAAAAAACAGGTTAGCTATTAAAAACTATTTATTAAAGTGGTAATTTGTAAAATATCATTCAAACAGAAATGTCCTTATTTGACATTTTATATTTGTAACATGTTTGACGTTGAAGAAAAATCTCTCATCAGTTGGAAGCGGTTTGCTYGGGGACAAATTTTACAAGACAAACGAGTTGGAAAGCTAAACCCACAGTTAGTTTGTAAGAGCAGCCATGCATCAGTGGTTCCATTTAAAAAATGTTATCAAATGTTTTCAATCAGAGTTTGGATTCAGGCGTCTTATCAGCAGCTTATTTATCTTTTTTATCTCTTCTTACTTTATCACATTCACAACTTCAGCCGCAGACTGAACAGAGTTTGTAGTAAAACTTTAAGTGATCTGTATCTTTATGGATTAGAGGGTAAATCTTCCCAGTGCCACCAGGACTTAAATAATCAGTTTTTGTAAACGTTCAGTTTCTAGGTCAGCATTTAAGAGATGCATTTGTAATCTAACCACAATTTAAGCACAATGACAGCTTAATAAAAACAATTTTTAGGAAAATAAAAGCAGCTTTGTTGCATAAGCCAAAACTGATTGTAGATGGTCTAAAAATGTACGAAGAGAATTTAAGTGATTTGTAAAAAAATATCACTATAAATTGTGTGTAAGAGGGGAAAAACGTTTTTGAAAGGGAGTTTTCAACTTTTATGCAACTGTTTCATTAAAAACACATGTGTGACGCTCAAGCGCTGCTTTGTTTAAGCCTGCTTTTATTTGAATGTAGATCTCCACAAGCTTTGAAAAACACTGTTTTATATTGTTTGCCTGCAGGTTAATTATTATGATGGGCTCAGACCCAGCTGTAATCAGATCTGATCTGTTTACCATCTTTGGTRTAATTACTAAAATCATGGTAATATAAAGTCCTGGAGGCTTAAAATAAACATCTCTGCTCAAATTTTTCATTCTAACAGATCAGTCATAAATCAAAATAATAGGGTTTCACCTAACATTATCCAAGAAGGGGGTTTGAGTAAATATGAGCATGTTATACATGTTTTTATATATGTATTATATTGTTTTTCTTTTTAGCACTAATGGTTTTTTCCTTCTTACTATGTTCAAATTTGTTTAATCCATTTTCTCGTCCTTATTAATTGCTCGTTTGTGTCATATTTACACTGAAAAATGCAACACTTTTGTTTTTGCTCCCATATTTCATGAGATGATCTCAAAGATCTAAAACATTTTCTAWATATAAAAYRGAACCATTTCTCTCAACTATTGTTCACAAATTTTCTCCTTTGCATAAATGATCCATCCCACCTTGCAGGTGTGGCATATCAAGATTATTGCACTGGTGTGCCTTAGGCTGGCCACAACAAAAGACCACTCTGAAAGGTAGCCTTGGCTAATTCTGGCTTTTTTATTTTACGAATTGTCACCTGTTTTATAAAAATGCAATGTCCCCTTTTACATGAATAAATGGGCGTACTGAAACGACATGCATCCCTTTCAGTCTGAGCAGAAAACTCACATTGCTCACCTCTCCCATAGCTCGCCCCTCCAGAGCCAGAGCCTGGAAGTCATGGTTCAGCTCATCCATGGACCGGACCTGAACACAAACAACCCAACTGAGTCACAAAAGTCTCACCCAGAACCAATGCAAAAGCTAAACTTTAATTACTTATGTTACTGAGTAAGTATCCCAGTAAATGATTTGCCTTTACTTCAGCTGAAGGCACGAGTTATGACTCAAAAAGGCTCATTTAAATCAGCGTCTMTTAAAATATGAAAAGCATCATCGCTCACAGCGGCAGGTCAGGAGCAACGGTTTCTTTAAAACAGAAACGTTGTGACGCTTCGTTTTTTCAGGCACAAACCTGACTGTCGTGGATGTTGTCTCCAGTGGGCCAGCGGTGTTTGCCGGGCTGCTCCCCATGCTGCCGCTGGAAGAAATAATCCACCATGGCATCGTCCTGGGACCGGCCTGCCCCCGCCACACCCTTAGGTGAGACACAAGCAAACACATGTAGGTTAGTCTGAAATTACAGGTGGCAACAACCTGAGAAATGCCACTCAATAGGACCAAATTACACACCAGCACTTCATAAATGTGATTATGATGAKTTCTACGGAAAACTTCAGCACATTTGTGTTTTATCTCATGAGGAAAAACATTAAAACACTGCAACTGACAACAGAGATGCARAAACTATGATCATTACCGGAGCGGTAAATGCAAACCAGTCGAGATGATTTCAGCAAAACCACTTATTTTAATCTGAAAAAAATACGTGAACAACAAAAAAACAAGTTTTAACTCGTTTCRTGCACTTTTAAAGCTCATTCTTGAGAACAAAAACATCCACGGTTCTCTAAAACTCAAACCTTTAAACAAAAAGGGAGCATTTCTTTTCACCTGCAACACACCAAGTGACTTCCTCCATTACTCATTTTCCAGAGTAAACACTAAATTTCTCTCCTGACGCTGCCACAGATGAACTGTTAGTCAGCTTTGTTCTGGAAACAGATGGTCTGAGTCGTCTGCTTCCACGCAAATCAGGCAGAAAAACACTAAACTGAAATGAGCAACTAAAATGTCAACGAGAGTAAAAACTGGGATGGAGCTATAGCAGCTTTCTTCAAACCTTGTATTTGACCAATGTTGTAAGATCTTGAGAGAGCTGTTAGTGCATAAATTATGTGTTGAGGATGACTCTCAGCTACTACCATGTCAAATTTGAGCTCAATATCTGTAAAATTAACTTAGCAGAAGCCACTTTTTAAATTTTATTCAAATACTAGAAATTACACATTTTATACTAACAGAGCTGAGAAATTAAAAGCTGCATCGGCTTCAACACATTTATCCACATATCTGAAATTGGTTTATGACTAGAAATAGTTAATTAAGATTAATTACGTAAAATATCTATTTGAGATATT